AATTTAAAATTTTAAAAACATACTGAAAATTCTAAAAATGTTATTATATATAACATTAAGTCTAACATAATAAATTTAAGATAATTTAAACAATAAAAAATTTAAGTCTAATCAAAAGTAGTAACATCATAAAATTAACACCAATAATAATTAAACTTTACTAGTCATCAACTAAATCTTAATAATTTTCATTATCATCAATATTAATATATTTTAATCATTCTCATTGGGAAGCCTTATCAATTGTTACACATAACATTTAGTTTTGTAGTGTCTATTTTTATAGTAATTTTAAAAAATTATAAGAGGGTTTAAAAGGGCTGACCCTTTTATTTTCGAGCTTAAGCTTGACTTACCATTTTACACCTCAAAGGAGAGGCCGGAGCGGCTTGACCCTAGATTTTTTTTAGGGCCAAGCCGACGGGTTCATCCCTATTTGATGACTTTACTTAGACCCAAAACTAATTTCGATCTATTGATTCACTTAACTCCTATTAGGCTTAATAATTACTGTCATTAACTCTCATTAGCTTAAACTTAATTATTTAAGATTAAGGTTAACTCTAAACCTCTCATTAATGGCATTTAGTGCTACCAACCATTAAAACCAAGGTATAAAAGCATTAAATAACTCCCAAATAACCCATTCAAGTTACTATAGTGGTTGTAGTTTAACCATCAATTGAGACCGCCACATTCCTAAGAATAACAATTAATTTAGATCAATTGGACTAAAAAAAACATAGCTAAAGAGGGAGAAGAAGAATGGGGCTTACCCAAGGTTGTAGAAGTTTCAATAAAGTCCCACAAGCCTCTAGAAGGAAACCCTAGCAGAGAATTTCATCTTCCTCTTACCTAAGCCCTCACACTTCACTCTTATCTGTGAAAGTAACGTGCAGATTCAGGTTTTAACTTTTCTTTGCACTCACCGCAACGAACAGCCCAAAAAGAGTGGCATTACTTAAGCCCAATTTTTAGGCCCAACTTAGCCTAATAGTCTCTCAAGGCCTATATTCAAAACCCTTTAAAGAGTCTAATAAGCCTAAATGGCCATCCAAACCCAAATATTAACTCTTAATCACCCTCATTTAATCAATTAGATCACCTAATTAGTTTAATTAATCATCAAATAATTTTTGGAATGTTATAGTGAAGATATTGATTTAACAGTTTATCAGTTCAACCAGGTAAATTAACTCGAATTTCCATACCATGCTTCTTTGTACCTTTTTGGTTAGTTTTCTCTATCTAAACTTAAACACACACACAGAGAGTAAATTTTGAAATAATGTGTGCTATTTAAGTTTTTAATATGCACAAAATTAAAAAAAATATAAGATAAAATAATTTGCTATCTTAATTTTAATTTGTATAGGGTGAAATTTTCTTGAGTAAAGTAAGGTGTTATTAATATTTTTTGATATTCTCAATTATTAAAAAGGCATATTTTAGATATTAATTAAATTTATGAGTATAACATTTTGTTGGTGACTAAAAGAAATTGTTGTTTATATTTAAACATAACTAGAATAACAAATTCTTAAATAAAATAAATTCATGATAGTTTTAAAAATAGAGATAGTTTTAAAAATTCATGATAGCTTACGTCAGAGTTTCAAAGTATAGTAGCTTGAGTTAGTATGAGAACGAATTCGATTCAAGTTGCATAAGAACTATTGAGAGGTACACTATAATAACGATGGTGTTTTTAATTGCAAATAATTAAATCAAGATGTAAGATGTAGTCATCGAATGGGGAAATCTGATCCATAATGCTCTATTGATTGGATTAGTCTTCACATTTTAAATTCCATGTATTCCAATATTTTTTTTAAAAAAATTAAATTCCATGTAAAAAATTTTAAAGGCAAAAAAAGATGGGCTGATTTGATTTGAAATAGAAGTAAAAAATTAAAATTGACAAACTTACCTCTATTTTTCAATTGGTGGGAGATAATAAAAACGAGATATGAGAGGAGATGCAAGAGTAACAGAAGTACTGATAGTGAAAATATGAAAAAAGAAACAACATGGTTTGAATAACTAAAATTTCAAATAACTATATATGATGGAATTTGAAATTACAAAAAATAAAATAAGAAACATGAATTTGAATTCAGATCATATCCAAATTCATAGACTTCTATGCATCCAAATAGTGGATTTAATCCAAATCCTCATGCACTAAATTTAAAATTACTAAGATCGACCATGCATGTATAATTATATTGCAAGTTTCAACTCCAAATAATATCCTTAAAAATCACAAATTACGGATGAGATATGTTACTGGTGATTCTAAGTACCCTATTCATGATTATTTTAAAAAAATCTAATACAAAGCATGCTTAGCTTGTTGATCAATTGGAAGTCTCGGACACTAAAAACCATAAAACAATTACTTGGTTTCGAAGCACTTCCAATGCTTGTATTCCCCTACAATTAATTCAAATGCTATGAGCTGTGAATGAGGTTTCAATAATATTTTATTATTTTATCTCACCAAGACAGAATCGATATGGTATCAATTGTTATAAATTGAGCTAACATTCACATGCATGCCTTTCCTTTGCACATTATCATGACCAAATATAACTTATTCAATTCCTGATGGCCTTCAATGATATGTAATATGAACACGTGAAATTCGTTATTAGCATTTAAGCTTTATATAATACAATAATATTCAGCTAACTTTTAAGGGGTATGTCAGAGAAAGTTAGATGGGAGGGAAGAAGATCCCGTGTGCATGGCTTCTCATTAGAAGGGTCGCTGGGTTGGTCTTATTTATGGTTTTCATTTTTGTAATTTACTTATATACTTCCCCATGTCTTTAATATAAGGCAAAGTTAATTAACTTTGTATTTATCAAGAAATTATATATAGTTACATCCTTAAAATTTTTTAACAAAACATGTAATTTTTCAATTTTTCCTTCTTCATAATTAATGATAATAAAAAATTGTTGTTTAGGAATTCAAGAGACAATAAATAAACAAAGGGTAACCAATTAAAGTTAGCGTGAGTGGTAGAGGCTCTCATTACTTTTGAAGGTTCGAACACCTGCCATTGTACATATAGCAATTTAGTTGGAAAAAATCTATTCATGGCTCTTAGTATTTTGAGGGAGATATTCTTTACTGTCGATAAAGTTCACTCCTTATACTTACCCAAAAAATATATTAAAAAATATAATGAGGTATTAAAAAAATAGAAGGCAAATACAATAAATATAGGCTTTGGCAATAAATAAAGTACAATGTGTGGAAATTCAAATATATTCCCTCTGTTTAATATTATAAAAAATTTAATCAAATTATATTCTTTAATTTAATGATTTAGTTAATTATTTTTAAAATTACTCACTCTTTTTATATTTACTCCTAATTAATTGAGTGTCTCAATTAGAAAAATTTATTAATTATACCCCTAATTAAGATTTTTTTTGAAAAACTCATTAATTGTACTTTAAAAAACTCAAAATACCTTATATTTTTTAATATCTTACTTCATAAAAAATGCGTTATAGTTTTGAACAAAGGTAGTATAACTCATCCACCATGGAAGTCATCTATCAAACTTCCTTCAAACTCTTGTTATACAATTAATTGACTTTTGAATTCACCAAGAATTAGAATTTCACCGGTCATTAAGAAATGATAATATTACTCCCTGAGGGTGCAACATAATTTCACTTTAAAATAATATTTTATAAAAATAATAATTTAAAAATTAAAAATAATTTGTTATATTAATTATTAATTTAATAATTAATATTACACTAGTACTAAAATTGTAAAAGCATAAGTAGATTGATAATCATTATTATTTTTTAAAAAATTATATTAAACATGTTGATTTGGTTTCTTGGTGTAAATATGCTTTCATATGTTATCAATAAAATCTATATTACATGCATCTCTAATAAGTTTTTGAGGTCAAATATTTTTATTTTGTTTAGGGGTGCAAAATATCAAGAGTAGAAGGTGTAAAATTACAAATTTTATATGCCTTACTTGTAATTTTTCTCAATGTAAGAGGAGTGCATTTAATCAATAACTTGGTTATGATTTAATTTAAACTCTTATAAATGATAATCAAAATTGTTAGAAACGTCAATATATAATAAACACTAAGTGAACAATAATTTCTCACTCCAGTAAAACACATAAGGCATTTTGAACCAAATTATATTCTTAAATAAGTTAGTTAATTATCTTTGAATTGACATTATCTTTACATGTTTACCCCTATTTAATAGAGTATCTCATTTAAAGGTGATGGGATAAGTGGTTTATTTATTAAGGTTATTTAAAAAAATTATTAATTACACGTTTAAAAACTAAAAATAAGTTATATTTTAATATCTAACCTAAAAATATGGTTTATATTTTTTAAGAAAGGAAATGGATCCCAAAAAAAAAGTCTCCGGGAAGAAACACAGGCAGCTAGATGGTCCCTATAAGGCAAATGCAATTAAAACAAATGTTCTTTTTGGATTCTTCAATGTTTTCAATTAAATCCGGGTCCATTAGGTCTATTAACAATTGACGGTAGTGGACGTTTCAATTATTTAAAGCCCTAGCCTCCTTATGAGCATATGCTCTCTGCAGTTTTAAATGTCCCAGTTAAATAAGTAATTTAAAGTGATTAAAAAATTAATTATTTGTAAAAATAAGTGTGTTTGTTTTTTTTTAATATCCCTTTTAATCATTTACATTGAAACCATCTTTTAATAAGTGCAATCAATAATAATTTGATGAAAAAAAATACAAATTTTGAAGACATATAGTGAACTGAAGTTTTATATTTAAGACCAAAACAAACCTTTCAATTTGTTCGGGAAGTAGTTATATGTACATATTATATATATATATATATATATATATAACCGAAAGCTTGCTGGCAAAGATAACATCTTTCATTGCCCTGACACACACGCACACACATATATCACTGCTCTCTTATATATCCTTCAGTTCACGGAATAGAAAGAGAAGATGGGAAGGAGTCCTTGCTGTGCTAAGGAAGGTTTGAATAGAGGAGCATGGACAGCTGCTGAAGACAAGATTCTCATCGACTACATCAAGATTCATGGTGAAGGAAAATGGCGACACCTTCCCAAAAGAGCAGGTTTTTTAGGCATTATTTATGTGACTATATCTACCAAGATCCCATGCTTTTTATACATGTGTGTGTAAATTATTGAATTCGTTGGTTTGGAATTGTTCAGGTTTATGTGTATCGTCACCGGTAAATATCTGAAGGAGTTTTGTTATGATATGTAGGTCTCAAGAGATGTGGGAAGAGTTGTAGGCTGAGATGGTTAAATTATCTACGACCTGATGTCAAAAGAGGAAATATAACTCATGACGAAGAGGATCTCATCATCAGGCTTCACAATCTTCTTGGAAATAGGTCCTCTTTTGATCCCTCTTCAAGTATCAGTTCCTTTCGATAATCTAGGTTATGGCATATTCTGCTTTCAAGTTGCTGTAATAATATGTGTGACTTAAGAACTATCTTAAGCCATTCAAACTCGAAAGGAAATTAATAAGGATAGAGAGACAATCATTTAATATTAGAACAATCTTTGAATGACTTGTAATGAAATTTTGTTCGAATATACGTAGCTCTGGCATTTAATATGATGTATCAGGTGAATTGTCTCAGGGCGGCGCTAAACAAAGTAACAATATGTATGAAGGAGCAAAAATCAGCATTATTAACAATGAATTGCGTGTTTAATTTTATAGGTGGTCTTTGATAGCTGGACGACTACCAGGACGAACAGACAATGAAATAAAGAATTACTGGAACACCAACATCGTAAAGAAGCTTCAAAGTGGAAACTCAAAATCCCTCACCACTTCAAGTGGTGTTGAACCAAGTTCCTCATGTTTAGCCGGTCAAGACACCGACCCGGATCCAGAGCTTCCAAATAAAGGTCCATGCTTGATTCGAACCAAAGCAACAAGGTGCACCAAGGTGACACTCAGCGAAGAACTCCGACCATTAATGGCCGCAGCTTCTTCGAATCGTGATGGCATGAATGTTACCTGCGATCATGCGAAAATGCAGGCACCGCCTTTGGTGGATTCGGAGGGAATTACAAACAACCTGTTGGATTTCATGGCGGATTTTGAGATCGAAGAGACTATGTTTTCAGATCTTCTTCGGAATATGGATATTTCAGAACCATCTTGTTTTGAGAATAAAGTCGTTGCAGTGGAAGTAGACACTCACGCCGATCCTCAATGTTGTCATCGTTTGTCTCCTCTGATTTCGGATGAAACCTGCTTGAATGTTTCCGATTATTCAATGTTGCATGGCTCTGAGGATTTCCAATCAATGTCGGCTCTAATGGAGAATGAATTTGACTGGCTTTGAATTCCTCTAAAAAGCGCGCGCACGCGTGTATTATTACTATTTCGATCTTGTATATTGATAATGAAAAGCTCGATCTGGAAATGTCAAACTATAGATTTTTGTTCCATTTCCATTGTGGTTATTAGGTAACTAGGTTGCATTCTTTCTGATAGTGGTCAATGTTTCTTTCTCTGTAAAGGATAATTTCCGTTAATTGAATTTCAGAATGTGAATGCTGGTTATATACATAAAGAAAATGATGTTAAAATGAAACTAATCTCTCTCTTTTTTTAATACAATTATCCATTATTCATAGATAGAGCCCAGTAATATCACACTGGCAACAAAATCTCCCAACGAATATTTAATATAGCTGTATACTTGGGATTTAAACTCAAGACCACAGTTAACACAACCTTTTACTAGTTGAGATAACGTGGCTATTGGTTAAATGAAACTAATCTCTAATTTAGCAAATAGTATGTTCTTATAATTTAAATTCAAATGTTCTAAACAAACATATTAAGAATATAAATATAACATTTTAAAGATTTCGATCGATTGTTGATAAAAAAAGGTCTCTCCTCATATGCAAGTCCTAAATTTATTCAAAAATTTTTAACCAAATATCCTATAATAAAAATAAATTACACTAAATGAGTAGCTCAACTCCAGTTGTATTTCTTTTGTTGTTTTTTTCTTTACAAGTATCTTTCTATTAGAAATAATTTTGCTCGAGGCAATAAATATGAGCATCTCTTTTAATGAAAATTCAAACATTGGTTTCGCTATATTATAAAAAACTAGCCCCTTCTAGCTTTCGTTAGGCTCAAACCCCATTAGTTTACTCCAGTCTTATTTTTGTTTTAGTTTGAAGTCTCATATATGCAATTTCTATTAATTATTTCCCTATATTTAGTTAAGCCATGGAGTTTACATACTATATAAAACAAAAATTGAATTGAGTACATATCACTACAAAAAAAAAAAACTTTTGGTTGTGTCAAAAAGCTGCCACCAAAAATTTAAAAGTCACCGCTAAAGGTCTTTAGCTATGACTTTTTGTTGTTAAAGGGTTGTCGCTAAAAATCTAATCATTAATAGTTTTTTGCAATAACAAACATAGTCGTTGCCAAAAGTATACCTTTAGTTGCAACAATTGTTACCGCCAAAAGCTTTTCTAAAGGTATACTTTTGGAGGAAACTAATAAAAACTATTAATAACTAGACTTTTGGTAGCGACTTTTAGCAAAAATCTTTAGCGGTGACTTTTTGTCACCCTTAAAAGTTATTTTTTAAAAAAAAAATAAAAGAGCCATTTCATGTCATGGCAGCGCCTCCTCATGCCACGTCAATTGACACCTTTGTGCCATATTATTTACCACGTGTGCACCTCCTCATACCACGACACACCAAGTCATCACCATGTGCCACATCATATATTCATTGTAAAATATGTCCAAGTCAGGATTTAAACATTTAACCTCTGCCTCTCAAGCCTCAAGTCTTTTTTTTTTTTTGGTTAGTTGAATTGAAATGCACCTATAGTTATTATATGCGAAATTAAAGATATATTATTTGACTGCATACACATATATCAAATAATATATTATTAAAAATATATACATACATATATTGTATTTTATTTTGATTTATTAATATGTTAAAATAATTTGTATGAGTGTATATATATATATTATATTTTTTAATAAAATATTATTTTTGTTAGGAAAATGAACTTAAAATGAAATAATTTTTAATTATTAAATAATTTTCTTATAAACGTTTTTACCAATTTTTAAATTTTATTTTTATTTTTAAATAAAAATAATTAAGTATATAATTTATTTATAAGTATGTATTATATTAGTTTACATTAAATATCTTTTACTTTTTTTCATATTTTTCTCATAAAATAATAAATAAATTATTAAATTTTTATCTTCTCCCAAATTAAATGCTTCCCCTTCTTTTATAAAAATAAATTTTATCTATACTTTTTTAATTATCTTAAAAATATAATAAAAATTATTTTAATTATATAAATTTTGTTAATAGTCATTTTGAATAATTATTCTTTATTATCTTTGAGATAGGAAATGGGTGGACATGTGATAAACTAAAAATAAATGCTAAACAAAAAAATTTCAAATTAAAAATATAAGTGGATATTTCATAATTAAAATAGAAGGAATCTTTTCTTGACTCAATTTAAATTAGTTTAGACTTTCATTAAAGTTTCTTTAACAGAGTCAATCTAAAAATAATAGAAAATACTTTTTAATAATTTTACAATTTAAAATAAATAAATTTTAATAAATTTATATATAATTTCATCCATAATTCAAAAAATCATCAAGTATTCTTCACCTATTTTATTTTTTGCTTAATTTAAATAACTATCAAATATGAAAAATTTTATTTAAATAATCCTGTGATAGTGAAAAATAGAACTTAGCAAATAGAGTAGACATCATATACCAAGCCAAGTATCAAGTAGTTTGCAATGTCATTTGCATCTTATAACTTTAACATTCCAATATTTTTTATGTATATGAATGTAAGTAACTAAGCATTTATATATATCGTTAATATTTCAATGTTATTTATTTTTTATTTTATATATAAATACCTTTGGTGGCAACAAATTTTGCTCCTAAAAATAATATAAATTAATTTTTATAAAAATATTTTTTTAATATTTTAATAAAAATTTTTAATAGTGACAAACTATGGCCTTGAAAAGTAATTATATAAATTATTTTTAATTTTTAATTATTTTTTTATGAAAATACTTTTGACAGCAACAATTTATCATCACTAAAAATAATTATATATTTATAATTTCTTAATTATTTTTTATGAAATTTAAAAAATAATTATATAAATTATTTTAAATTTTTAATTATTTTTTATGATGATACTTTTGGCAATAACAAAAAATAATTACATAAATTATTTTTAATCTCTTAATTTTTTTATGAAAATATATTTAATTTAATTACATAAATAATTTTGAATTTATTAATTATTTTTATAAAAATATTTTTGATGATAACAATACATTATTGTTAAAACTAATTTTTAATGACAATAATTAAAATCGTCAACATCTTGGCTAAAAGCAAAACCTCACAAGCTGCAGCTTCAAAACGGCTCCTTTCGACTTCTCTCTACTTTCACCGGTCATATGAACAGTGACGCTCCTCCGGCTTTGTATTGGGCTTGCTGCCTTTGCCAACTTAATTTCGGCTGAGCGTTGGGCTCCGTTTATGATATACAGTTCGGTCAAATTTCTTGTCTCTCTTTCCCTCCTTTCAAATTTCAAAATGCAAATTATATTTTTATAATATTATCTATTAAATACATAGTTCTCCCTCTACTTCTTCTAGCTAATTACTTAATATATGTAGTCTATTTTCTCTTTTCTTTTCTTTCTCTTTCTCACGTGCTGTACTTTTTCTTCTTCTTTTTCTTTAAATTCCTCTCCTTTTCCTCTGCCTAACATTGTGTCCTTTCTTCTCGTTGTCCCTTTTTTTTTTTTAGAGTTTCTTTTCTTTCTCTTTCAGCATGTTAAAATTTCTGGCCTGCCTCTCTTCTTCATCTTATCTTTCCCTTCATTCTTCATCAATTTCAAATCAGTGTTGGAGGAAGACGTGAAAGCTGAACGGATGAAGCTTGGGAGTTATTGTCACGGTTACGACTTCCTCTAGCCATCGAATTGCGATATCCATCTGAACCATGGCTATCTATTTTCCTTTGTGGGTTGTTTTAATGTCTTGAAACATTTATTGGATATGATTTTCTGCATCAGATTAGTATTTTAGTGTGTTATCTCTTAAAAGTTCATCTAAACTGGCATGGAGGAGGTGAAATGTGGAACGAGCGTTCTTGCTCAACATTAGTTAATTGATTCTTTATATTTTCATTTAGTTGTTTTGTACTGTCAAAACGCTTTGACGTCTCTATTTGTGGCCTAAACTTTGCTTCTTTATGCCTTTATGCAATGCTTGAATTGTTTAACAAGGGGGAAGCTTGACGGAGTATTCCTTTGCAGTTTTGGTGATGTGCTGTTGTATTCCCTCGGAAATATATTACAGGACTGAGTTTGTTAAAAAGCTGTTGTGTTTTTTTTTTTGGTTTTCTTCCAGACAAGTTAGCGTTTTCATTTAGTTGGGGTGTATGATTCATTTACTGATTTTGAGTTATGCATATGATTTTTAGTTATAAGTTATGTTATGGTTGTTGTGTGTGAAATGCTTTTGGTTTTTACAAGGGGAGCCTGAGATAGGCTTTGCTTTTGAAAGCATTCTCTGCAATTGCAAAAAGCTTGGACAAAGTCCTTTGGCCTTTTTATTATTACTACAAACATAAAGTACTTGATACTGTCGACATCAACGTCATGTATCATTGGTTGATTACTTCGAAATAAAATTTGGGTTTATTGATTGTCACTGGCATTTTAAGTTATTGCAATTATATAAATTATTTCAATTTTAGTATTGATTTACAAATTACAATCTCCCTGTTCATTGGAGGTAGTAAAAGCTATTTTAATACTAAACTCTATTTCACTTTAATAAATCTAAGATAATGAAGTTGTATTTAGTACTTTAGTTTTTTCCGTGTGTTATGAAACTCTTAAAATCTTAATTATTTTCAAATATGAAAGTAATATTATGCTTCATTGTAACACATATAAAGTATGGTTTTCACATGCGATGAACGGGGGAATATGTTGCAAATTTTTTTGTGCACAACATTTCCTAAAGATTAATGCACCTTATATATTAATCTATATTCATCTATTAAGAAATGAAAGCAAATACTTAATATTTAAAATATAGAATTGAAATTAACATTCTTTATATTCAACTATTATTCTTGTTCAGATAAAAAACTACTATTCTTATTATTTATTTAATTAATAAATGCCTAGGCAGTGTTCTATTTATTAAAAAGGTTAATTGATTTCATGCTTAATTTTTATTATCTTAGCGAATAAAAAATAGCATATCAAACAAATATAAATGTAATCGCTCCCAAGGAGAAGAACTTGTCATTATATTGGAATTAGCAAAATCAAATGTTACACAATACACTTATATAACAATTTTGTTTGTTATAAAATTTACTTTTATGATTAAAAGACAATACAAAGATCATTTT